TTTTGTTCTTCAGTCTAGTTGTGGAGGATGTTGCTTCACTGGCCCAAGTTGGCACCATCATTGCGCTCTTCCCAGGTGAGGCAGATCAGTTGCCGGCTTCTGGACGGCCGCTCATGCTGGCTGCTGGCCACACACAGTAGCCCATGGCAACCCAGTGCAGCAGGGGCTGCAGCCTACACTGTCACTGGCAACTCATGGCAGCCCAGCTCCAGGTCGAGCTGTTGTTCACCATCTTAGCTGTGGAGGGCAGTGTCACTGGCCCTCATGTGGGTTCCAAACCAGGGCCCTCTGGCGTCCCAAGCCAGCTCTTAACCAACGCGCCACTCGGCTGGCCCAAAGCTGGCACTTCTTGGTGCTGCCACACCCACTCCCCTTACCCAAGCCCCCACCCTCTCTCAGTCACTTTCCTGACTCCCCTTTTTAACCACTCCTGTGGCTTTTCTTTGTAGCATTTACTACAGTTGTAGTTTAATTATCAAATGTGTATGCTCCCTGTTGGACCATAACCTTTTTGAGGGTAACTGTTTTGCTCACCAGACTGTAGTATGGGACCTAGAATAGAGTCAGCTGTCAATATTTCTTTGATGGACAAAGACATTTGGACCAGCAAGGTCAGTGAAAACCTACTCAGAATGTCTTCCTATTTTCACAGAGGGTAAGCCCTGACCCCTAGGGGTGCATAGACTGTGCCTATGGCTTGAATTCAAGGAGGAAGACAGACATGTGGAGTTGAATTGTGTGCGCTGTGCTTAGAGACCTACAGCCGGTGGTCTTGCTGATAATTTTCGCTGGGATCTCATAAAAGCAGTCAGGGAGCTGTCTGTTCATGCTGCCTGGTGGTATCCCCTCCCCCCCCCCCCCCCACCAATCCTGGCCACAAGCCCCTGGGACACCAGCCAGCTCTCCAGCTGAGCTTTCTAAGGACTTTAAACCTTAGGACCCATCAAAGCAGAGAGCGGTCAGGAGTTGCATCTGGCAGTATGAATGAAGCCTGAGGCATTTATAGTTAATCATTTACTGGGAAGAAAACTAGAAGAGGAGACATTTTTATTAACATTTTCTTCCTTCCCTTCCCTTCCTTCCTCCTTCCCTTCCCTTTCCCTTCTTTCTTTCCTTCCTTCCTTCCTTCCTTTCACAAAATTAAGCAATAGAATAGCTCTAAGGGAGGGATTTCTGTTTGGTTCCCCACTGTCTCCCTAGCACCCAGAACAATGCCTACTTCAGTGTAGGTGCTTAATATGTTGAATGAATGAATGAATGATTATCTAGAGCCCTTCAGATGGGAGGTGAGCTCAGTCTGCATGTCCTGTATCTCAGGTGGAGTGTGGGGGTTTAGAAAATATAGGGTGCTGTTGCAACAGACCCGGGACCCACATTTCCTCCTGGGCACTATCACCCACTCCCCCCACTTTTGTCCCTCACTGGCCCCAGAGGATCGTGAGGGCCGAGGACTGGAAATCAGAGCCTAACACTCCTTGGTAGGCTGCCTTGTCTGAGGCTTTTATCTTCCTTACCAGAAACTCCTTGTTGAATTAACCAATTGTTAGTTAGTGACGGGAGGAGAAGGGCGGAATTTCATTGGTGGCTTTGCTCTTGACCAGGCCTCCATGCAGGCCTGCCCCTGCTCTGTCCTTGGGCACCGTGACAAGGCAGGAGTGACCGCGGTTTCTCTGCCCGTTCTTCCCCTCACTTCTCTCAAGAGGTCCCCTTTAGATCAGGTGGGCACTACCCAGAGGAAGACAGAAACACCTCAGCTTGCCACTGGAGAGGTGTGCGGCGTGTGGCATGTAGCAGGGTACACGTGAATGAAGGTGCTTGAATGGCAGGTTTTGAGAGTCATACTCAGGCCCACCCCCGTCAGCGGATTCACCCTACAGCTAGCCGTTTCCATAATTCATCCTGGCAATAACTCTGAGGGACTGTTATTATCCTCATTCTAAAGATGAGGAAACTGAAAAGCGTGGCCGTTAAGCTAGAGAGGAGCAGTGGGCAAATTCAAGATGAGATCTATAGTTTCTGAGGGCAAAGCTCTTTCCACTTGTATTTTCCTTCCACTTTTCATTACTTTACTAGTGAATTCCCTCGTCCTGAAAGATTGTTTTCAATGAACGTTCGGTTTCCTCATGCATCAAAGGGGGATATTACCACAGAAGTGTGTCTGTGTTTAAGAGTCCCCAGAAATCTGTGCTTAGTTCCTCACTGTGCCTCTGCCTGTGACAGCAAAAACCCAGGGACTAAAGGAAATTAATCAGTGGCCCTAAATAATTTTTAAAAGTCCCATTTTTTTTCCTCTTTGACTTTTAGGGGTGTTTGTACTTAGGGTGGTGCTTGAGCACATTTGCTGCAGTTGGCAAATGCAGCTACATGACTGGGATGCCATGGATAGACATTAGATGGAGTGTTGGAGTAGCGGACCCTCCCGTGTCTTTCTGACCCAGGGGTTCTCAACTGGGGGCAGTTTCCCACCCAATCCGGGGGACAGTTAGCAACATCAGGAGATGTGTGGGTTGTCACACATGGGGGAGGGGTGTTCCTACAATGCACACAGGACAGCCCCCCATAACAAAAAATTATCTGGCCCCAAGTGCTACGGTTCAGAAAGCCTGTCCTAACCAGAGGTCGGAGAGGGCAGGTTTCAAGATAGGGGGCCGCTGAAAGACCACGGATCTTCAGGTTCAATTCCGTCTTTCTACAAGACTTTGAAGTAACTTGGAGACCAGGCTACTTCCTGACCTAAGCCATGGTCTCTCCTCCCGCAGAAGCTGACCCTTGTGCTTGGCCTGGCGACGCTGATAGCTGCCTTTGGGTCCTCCTTCCAGTATGGGTACAATGTGGCTGCTATTAACTCCCCTGCTGAGGTAGGTCGCTGTGGTGAGTGAGACGCAGCCCCCAGGAAACAGGGAGGTGGGTTTGGGGCAGCCCGAGGGCCTGGGTGTGGCTGCCAGAGTGAGACAGCATACCCACGGGGGGGACACACAATGGGTCCTCAAGCGAAGGGAGAGGGAAACGCCCACAAGACACAGTGCAGGTCCTCAGGCCTGGCTGGACACAGGGTGGGCAGGTCTCTGATCTTGTAATCTATGGAGGAGTCTGGAGAGGAGGGATCACCCAGCAGACTGGAAGACTGGAGTCGTGGCAGTCACTCCAGGTGTTAGAAACAGCCTGGGCAGTTTGCCTATCAGAGGCCTGACGGCCCTCCCCGGGGTGCCCCCTGCTCATTGCTGTCCATACAGCTTTGTCCTCACTCCCTTTCTTCCACTTAATAATGTCTGTAGCTATGTGCCCAGTTTATCCACATTGTTGGCCCAACCGCTTGCATTGCTCTTGCTGCAAAACCACGTCAAATTGTTTTGGTGTTTGTTTCGCTTTGTTCTCCAGTTCATGAAAGAATTTTATAATGAGACCTACTATGATAGAACCAGCGATTACCTGAGCGACTTTTCCTTGGCATTGCTGTGGTCTGTTTCTGTGTCCATGTTCCCCTTCGGAGGCTTCATCGGATCCCTCGTGGTTGGTGTCTTGGTGAATAAGCTTGGCAGGTAAGGTAAGGCGAATTTTCAACTCCATGAAACTCATAGACCCCATCAGGCTTTAAAACATAGGCCTAAAGCTAGAAGTCCTATTGTAAGACTAGGCGATAACTGCTGCGATGATATCTGTGTTCTAATGTGGTCTTCAGACCAGACATTGACCAAGTATTTGGGGACTTAGGCAAGGTCTTAGGTCTAGAAGTGGAGGTGCCAGGTCTCTGGCTCTGGGGTGGACATGGGAAGAGCAGATGGCTTCAGAGATCAGGATTCACTCCTGCTCTCTCTGCTATCTTGCCTTGAAGGTGTTTTGTTTTTGTTTTTTACCCAAGCCAAAACCAAGTTCTCTCTCTCTTTTTTTTTTTTTTTTTGCCTTTAGAAGAGTCAAACACCAGAAGCCGTGGCCAAGATGTCAGTCCCAATATAGATCATAGTATAGTGTTCTTGAACTCTGCTTCCTAAACAAACATAAACTAACTTCTTTGTCCTTTTTCTTTGAGATCAAGTAATATGCAACATTTAACCCACATTAAATTCCCGTGAAACTCTGAAATGGCTGAGATTATCAGGCACTTCCGTGTGAAACTGTGTGGTCCCAGGGCGACTCTCTCTGTGAGTGCAGTGAATGAAGCACTGTGTAACTTAACCCCAGATTACACAGCTAAGAGGAAATTTCACTTCTGAGCCTGTGCAAGCAACGTGCACACTGTACTCTGTTATACCGGGCAAATATCTTCTCAATCTGTTGCTTTATTTTTTAATCATTTGTATAGTCTTATCTTTTTTACACAAATTTTTTAATTGTTCAAGTGGTCAAATTTATGGGTTTTGCTTTTTGTGTCTTAAGACAGCCTTTTCCTCCCAGAGTCATGACAATAGTATTCTTTAATAAAAAAACAGATAATTTAACAATTTTGTTTTTCCCAGATAGAGCTGGAATTTTATTTTGTATGTGGGTGGGTGGTGAGAGAAAGCAATTTTTTTCTCCATGTGAAAAGTCCATTGTTCTTAAATTTATCTTAGTTATTCATGTTCCTTTAGTCTTCTGTGTTCACTTTTAAATCAGTTTATCAAAACCCCTAACAAAAAGGTTCTGCTTGACATTGCTTTGGATTTATAATTTGAGGAAAACTGACACCCTTACACTGTTGAATCTTCCCCATTCATGAGCAAGCAAGGGCTAATTTATTGATCCTGGGGTTCCTTCTATGTCTTTGCATTCAGTTCTAGAAAATTTTCAACCATCACTTCTACAAATATCCCTCCTCCATTTTCTATATTCTTTCTTCTAGAATATAGAAGTGCTCCTGCATGTCCTGTTGTTGCCCTATTGCCTTCTTTAAAAAATTATTTTTAAAAAACTGTGGTAAAATATATATAGCACAAAATGTCCCACTTTAAACATTTTTTAAGTGTACAGGCTATTGGCATTAAGTACATTCACATTGTTGTGCAGCTGCCACCACCATCCATCTCCATAACTTTTCATCTTGCAAAGTTGCCACTGTCCCCATTAAACCACTCCCCATTCCCCCTACCNCACCCCCGCCCTTGGCATCCACCATCCGACTTTCTGTCTCTGTGAATTTGACTACTTCTAGACTTGTACGAGTGGAATCTTACAAGATTTGTCCTTTTGTGACTAGGCTATCTCACTTATCATAATGTCATTAAGGTGCCATCCATGTTTTGCAAGTGACAGAGTTTCCTTTCTTTTAAAGGCTGAATGACATTTTATTGTATGAATATACCATGTGTTTACCCATTCATCCATCAATGGACATTTGGGTTGCTTCTACCTTTTGGCTATTGTGAATAATGATATGATAATCCGCCATGTCTTTATCTTTCATATTTCCCATTCTCCCTCTCTCTGTAATTTCCTCAGGTCTATCTTCCTATTCATTAATTTTCTCCTCAGCTGTAATTCACCTACTAAGTTTTTTATTTCAATGGCTCAATTTTTTATTACAAGAAGTTCTATTTATTTGTTTTTAAAATCCATCTTTTTGTTTGTTTGTTTTGCTATTGTTTTGGAGAGTGTTTATTTTACATCGTTTCTGGTTCTTACTTAGTACCATTTTAATTCCTTATTTTATGACACTGATCGTTGGAAACATTTTGTAGCCTCTGTCTAATCCTATAGTGGAAGCGGTGCTGTTTGTATGTGCAGCCTCTTGAACAGGGCGGGCTGTTTCGCAGGAGTTGTAATGGTGGGGCTCTATCACTGCAGGGCCTCCTGAGGACTCGGGGGTTGGGGGAGCGATGTGAGGGCCTCTCCAGAGGAGTTTCCCTTTGCCTTTGTTAGGCTTCCCGGGGCACAAGTCCACCTCTAGTCTTATTCATGGCTTAAATGGGAATACTTTTTTTTTTTTTTAAAGATTGTATTGGGGAATTGGGGAAGGGGAACAGACAAGTTGTTGTCCTTCAATCTTAGTTGTGGAGGGCGCAGCTAGCTCAGCTCCAAGTCCAGTTGCCATCAGGTTGCCTGTCGGCAGCTCGCGGTCACTCAGCTCAAGGTGCTGTCTTCAGTCTTAGTTGCGGGTGGGCATAGCCCATCATCCCATGCGGGAGTTGAACCGGCGACCCTGTTGCTCGGAGCTCGCGCTCTTAACCAACGGAGCCACTCAGCTGGCCCCGGGAATACTTTTTAAGCTTGATTAAATTTGATGTTTGTTATAGGTTTTTAGGAGATATCACTTTTGTCAGCTTACATAATTTCCCTCTATTTATAGTTTGTTAAGGTTGTTTTTTTTTTTAAATCATAATAAGTATCCAATTTTATGGACTTCTTTTGTTGCTTCAATTGATAATCTTATATTTTCCCCCAGCATAATCTTTAATATGATGTCTTTAACATTGAAATTTTTTTTTTTCATGTGCTGTAGAATCCAATCTGCTAATATTTCATTTAGGACTTTTGCATCTATGTTGATAAGTGAGGTTGGCTCACACTTTTCTTCTAATGTCCTCACCCAGTTTGGGTTTCAAGATCACAGAAAACTCATGCTAGTTGATGATTGCAAAAACCTTTTACTGTCTTCCTGTGTGCTGTATACACTATTACTGCTGTCACCAAATAGACACTTGGTGAACATTTGCCAAACACGTGACTGAATCCTTAGGCCAAACTAGTTGATGTTTTATCCTTTGCAGAAAAGGGGCTTTGCTGTTGAACAATGTCTTTTCCATCGTGCCTGCCATCTTAATGGGATCAAGCGAAGTTTCCAAGTCATTTGAGATGATCATCTTGTCCAGACTTTTGGTGGGAATATGTGCAGGTAAACAACACCACACTGCGATGCCATCCTGTGACTTAGAAAAGTCAAGAGAAGGGAGAACGGGTGCCGGAGTCTGAACCAATCTGGGGTCTCTGAAGCACATAGATTCGAGCTGTTCCTCTGCCTCTGCGGTGGATGATGCTTAGGCCCCTACGTTAGTCTGATGTGCAGACAGGGACAGACCTTCCCTTTGATGGTTCCTGGGAAGAAAGCTGTTCTTTGAAAGACTGAAATGCAGACTCTTAGGTTCAGAAAGGTCCTTCCAATCTAATCCTTTATCTCAGTGTTTTCTAAACAGCAGGTGGGACCAGTTAGTGGGTGGTGATATCTGTTTAGTGAGCAGCATTTCTCCCTTCCTTCCTTCCTTCCTTCCTTCCTTCCTTCCTTCCTTCCTTCCTTCCTTCTTTCCTTCCTTCCTTTCATAAACTGTGTCATAGGTAGTAAAGGCAAGAGTCGTCTTTTGGAACTTTCATTTCAGTTACTGATCTGTGTACGTATGTGAGAACTGGCTGCATCGTGAGATGTATTTCTGTAGCTTTTACTGTGGGTCGTGCTCAAAAAAGCTTGAGAAACATCCAGACATATGAATCCCTCTCCCTGGAAGGAGTTAATGATCGCCACCTTGCAACTTTTATAACAGAATTTAAGTTTGCAAAAGGCTTGTCATGGGTTCTACTTTACTTATTCCTTCAACGCCCGCCTGCTGAGGAGGGTAAGGCCCTGCCTGAGGTCCCTCCCTGGTAAACCCTGTCACTGGGTTGCAGACTCTCCTAAGTTATGCTGCCCGGCTGTGTACTTCGTACTTCGGTGACTGTAGAAAACTCTCCATAATTGCTTCAGACTGAAGAGACGTGGGTAAAGCCCTGCTGTGGCCTTCTCTTGAGTTGGTGTGATTTGTAGGCAGTATTTCCCAGGGCCGGTCAAGGCAAGTGAGATGCCCAGATGTAGAGTAAGGAGGTGCCTGCTCCTGTGGCCGTGCACCTGCAGCGTGCGCACCCGAGGGTACGTGCCCCCACAAACACTGCCCCCTGGGTGCCTCACTTGTCTGCTTCACCAGGCCCTGGCATTGCCAAGTGACTCTCAGTTTTTCCTTCCAAAACGGGGATAGGGACAAGCAGATGATTTGGCTGGATGTCAGCAAAGCTGAAGTTAAGTGACAGCAGTGGAGACGCCAGGGAGACTGGTGTTAGGAGAAATGGCGAGGAACTGCAGGGCTGGGGACAAAAAGAGGAAAACGAGATTCCTGAAGACAGAAGAGGCCATTTCCAGGAGAGCACAACAGGCCCCTTGGCGAGCATCACTGAGTACTCGCTTTCCCTGAGAGCACCCGGACGGGTCCCTCCCATCTTGGCCTGGGGCCACCTTGGCTGTTCCCTTCAGAGGGGCTCAGCTTTAAGAAAAACTGGTGATTCATAAACATTGTCAGCAGTGAGCAGGTGCAGCCACTTTTCTATTGGCCATCCAAAATTCAGAGTTAGTTCCAACAGTAAAATATTAGGCTCCAATAGATAATAGTTCCCAGCCTATGCTCTTAAGTAAGCATTACTTTAAGTCAGTGGTTCTCATACTTTTGGGCCTCAGGACCCATTTATGCTCTTAAAATTACTGAGGGCTCCAAAGAGTTTTTGCTCGTATGGATTCTATTAGATCAACGTTTACCATATTAGAAATCGCAACCAAGAAATGCATTAATTCATTTAAAAATTGCAAAAAGCCTATTACATGTCTTTATGAAAATAACTGTATTTTCTAAAGCAAAAAATTTAGTGAGAAAGATGGCGTTGCTTTACATTTTTGCAAATGTTTTTGATGTCTTGCTTCATAGAGGACAGCTAATTCTCAAACCCGCGTCTGTGTTCTGGTTGTGTAGCCTCCGGAACACCCCACTGTGTGCTTATGAGAGACCAAAAATGCAAATAACATCTTAGGATTGTTTTGAAAATATTTTTGATCTCACTGACCCTCTGAAAAGGTGTCAGGAACTCCCTGGGTCCTCAGGTCATGTTTGGAGAACACTGGCGGAGGCATCATCCATTTGCAATGAATTCTTTCCCACGTCTGAAAAAGTCAGGAAAGTGTATAATCAAGCTCCTTAGACATCCTACAAATGAAGCAAACAACAGTTCTGACAAAGGGGATGAGAGAGAAACCTGACTTGGACTTCAAGGTGCTCAATTGAAGTTTACTGGCTTGCCCTTGGTCAACTCCTTGGCAAGGACACCGAATGCTTTCTCTGAAGGAATTTAAACTCTAAAAGCCACTTGCTCTGACTCTGGTGTCAGAACCGACAGGCAGGGGTTGTCCCGTGGAGTCCTTCTGAAGACAAAGCAGAGATTGCTTTCCACCTACATGAAGGGAATCCCATCTCGTCACAAACCGTCTGGTATTTCACTCTTCAACGTTGTTCTTTCTTTTAACTTTTTTTTTTTATTATTAGTTTCAGGTGTACAAAACAACGTAGTGATTAGACATTTCCACACCTCACAATGTGATAACCCCAACAAGTCTACTACCCCTCTGACGCCGTATGTAGCTGTTACAATACCGTTGACTATATTCCCTGTGCTGCACTTTACATCCTGTGACTATGTATTTTTTTAATTATAGTTGACAGTATTATTTTATATTAGTTTCAGGTGTACAGTGCAGTGGTTAGACATAGTGTCAGATGGGTACTAGACTTATCGGGAGGATCACTTCAATGTTTTTCTTAATCAAGGTGAGAGTCCTTGCCATTAAGATGCAGCCAGGGCCTGAGTGGTGACCATGGAGCCTGTACATTGAGGGTCTCTGCTTCCTCCACAGCCTTTTGGGCACTGGGCCCATAGGGTGCCCCCACCAAGACACCTAAGTGCTGCTCTAAAGACTGTGCCTCTTTGCTCTGAAAATTGGAAACAATCTGTATTAATGAACAGTGATGTCTCTTTTTAAATACTAAGCAGAGATACCCTTGGGCAGAATTGCAAAGCTTGGAAACTTGGCCTCCTGTTCCCTCCTATTTCAGTGTCATCAAATGCCCTCCCATTACCAGCAGTCTAACCTCCACTCACCTTGACTTCATTTCCTCGCCGTCTCCCCATGGTCAGAGCCTCGCTCTCAGACCCCCACCTCTTCCTGAGCCTCAGCTTGACTCTTGGGAGGCTGGACTAGTGACAACCCATCTGACCTCCCTCCAAGATTCCCAGCCTCTCCCTGGGCTTTGAGGAGAAGTAAATGGGATAATATATGTGCCAAAACTTCAGAACCTGTAAAATTAATTCTGTCTGTTCATAAGGGGATCAGATGCCATTAGGATGGGAAAATTTACGTGTTTAAGTATTGGAGATCCAGAAGTCGTCTGGGCATTACAGAAATTCCCAATAGCAGTTATCCTACAATTTAAGTTTTCAATGCTTATTGATAAATATAATTTGTGCTTCAAAGTCTACGAAGTATCTGGGCTTTGGTTTATTATATAATACACTGTCTCCGAAGGTCATGCTGGTGGGCAGGGGTCGTTGGCCTCTCTTTTCCCCCAAGGAGCAAGAGAGGAGAGTGTCTAGACTACACCTGGGCTTCTCTCTGAGCTCAAGCCTCTTAGGAGGGAAGGCCTGAAGTCAGGCTGGCCTGTGTCCCCAGGTGACACCAGTCAAGAAGCAGTGGCACCTGTCCATGAAATTTTTTTGGTCAGACAATTTTATCTTTCCTTAAAGTTTAACATTCTGAGAATTGAAAGAGATGTTTGCTTATGCCTGCAGTTTTGAGAAAGTTTCGGCCCAACTAATGTGATTGCTGAGTAAGAATAAGCGTGTTTGAAGACACAGCTTGTCCCTGCCAGGCTGTTTTCTGATGGTGTTCTTCTTTCAACCTCATCTAGGTCTGTCTTCCAATGTTGTCCCTATGTACTTAGGGGAACTGGCCCCTAAGAACCTGAGGGGCGCTCTAGGGGTGGTGCCCCAACTCTTCATCACTGTTGGCATCCTCGTGGCCCAGATCTTCGGTCTCCGGAGTCTCCTAGCAACTGAGACAGGTAAGTTCAGATGCCTCCGGGCCCCCAGCCCTCCCTCTGCTCCCGCTGGGCATTTCTGTGAGCTGATCTTTTCTCTCGAATCAGCTGGCTGTCCTTGCGGACCCCCCCACACTGCCCTGACCCCACAGTTGGTGATGACAGATGGGCTGACATTTTCTGGTCCCTCTTAGGACATGGCTTTGAGTGAGCAGGAAGCGCCATTATCTGACTTTCTCTTAGCCTGATGGTGGCTATCCACACGGGGCAGGGGGCATGGTAATGGTGGCCACCAGTGTGCCAAGCCCTGTGTTCAGAGCTTCTCCTGGAGCAGTTCACTTGAGCCTCCCAGCAGCACCACTGCCCACGGGGCTCTGTATTATCCCATTCCACAGACCAGGAAAGAAGGTCACTCAGCCTGGCCCCTGTGGGTGAGGTGGTGAGTCACAGGGCTGCCCAGACTCTGACTCCGGAGCCACACCCCCTTCCCTAAGAGCCGGGGGCCTGGCACATAGTAGGTGCACAGTAACTCATAGACCACTGTTTTTAAGTGTCCTCTCCTTTCTTTGTCGTGGGTCTCGAACCTCTGAAAGGGAAATCACCATTAATAACACCTGTGAAAACATATAAAGTACCTCTTGCAGGCCAGGTACGAGGTTTTTTTTATTAATCCATTTAGCCCTCCAAACAACCCTATGAAGCATATACTGTTATTATACCCATTTTACAGATGTTGAACCTGAGGAAAAGAGCGGTTGAATAACACATTCAAGGTCTCACACAAGCGCAGGTAGCTCAGGCCTAGGTCCATGTTTAACCACCACTCTTTCCCATATTTCAGTCCCCCTCTTAGGGGACGGGGACCAGGAGTGAGCGTGCTAGGCTCCTGTCCCCCTGTGATGGGGTGTAAACAACCAACAGGACCCAGAACAATCGGCCGAGCCCTGGCATCTGTGAAGTGCTCTATGGTATGCAGGAGGGAGTGATGGTTCCGTCGGGAACGGGGGGCCTCAGAAAGGATCTGCACTTGTGGGGAGCAGGACCAGCATTCCAGACGTGGGCAGAGTGTGTGAAAGTGGGAAAGTTCCCTGTGCACTCAGGGAACTGCAAATGTCGTGGACGTCATTTTGTCCCCCACATCCTTCACTGAGAGTTCCACCAGCAGCACCCTTCCCCTGGCCAGCGTGTGGAGGGCAGGGCTTGGCCTTAGTCAATGTGAACCTCCAGCGTAGCTCCTGGCACGTAATAATCACTCAAAGAACAAGGAAGGAAAGAAGGAAGGAAGGGAGGAACGGAGGGAGGGCAGACCAGAAGAGAATAACATCAGAGAAGTCTCCGGAAGGAGGTGGCAGTCACAGGGCAAAGATTGCAAAGAAGTCAGGGAGTCACGATTGAAACACGGAGCCTGGGTATGGCCGTTCAAGGTCTCCGAGGAGGGTTTCTGTGTAGGGGTGAGGGTGGGGGCCAGGGGACAGCAGGGACCCGAGTGGGAAGTAAGTGCACACTTGCTCTCGGCTGTGCAGGGTGATTGAAGCAGGAGCCAGCATTCACTAGGCCTTGGGTTCAGATCAAGGGACAGGACAAGGTCGGGAAGATGAGGGTCCAGCCTGTACAGTGGTGGGCAGGCCAGCAGTTGAACTTAACATTGCATGATACCTGTTTTCTTGAAGAGCGATGGGGTTATGGGATGAGAGAAAGGTTCAGAGGTTGAAACGTGACTTGAAAGTCTAAATGAGGGTGTTCTTCATTTATTTCTTTTCCATTACAGTGGTTGGAATCTATTTTGTAAGAGACCAGTGAGAAGTCACTGGTTGTCAAGTGGTCATCGCCATAACTTTGACTAAGAATATAACACATAGTTCAAGCACCCAGGCTTCA